GGAAGGTCTTCTGGGATCTGCCCCCGCTGAAGTTTCTAACCACTGAGCAACCTCTTTTATGCTGTTATCATTAAAGACAGCTGAGAGACAGCATGGGGTTACACGTAGGCAATCCTGAGGCAGCCCCCAGTGGCTTTGACCCTCCAGCCCTATCACTTGGTAGCTGCGTCATCTTAGGGCTTCCGATTCTGTAGGTATTAGGCAAAAGGGAGAGTATGGTCATAATAACTCCTAAGGTTCTTATAAGTATCAAATGATAATACACAAATAGAGCCCTTCAAACAGAAGCTGGCACAGAGTACAAATATTCTTGGTGATGATACTGTGCCCTGCAAAGTCTTGCCCTCTCCAGATGAAACAGCTCCATTTCCTCACCCCTGCTGTAGATCATAGAATTCTAGAAATAGCTCCCCTGTTAGAAGCTCCTTCCTCACAGTGAGAGGCATGGAAATGGATTTAATATTCCAATGTGGTGTAATGCACCCCTGATTCGGTGGGAATGGCACTGCCCTGACCCAAGCTTCACAATTTTATCAGTGTGGCCTCCGTTTGCACTGGCTCTTTGCCTACTGAACTACATCATGGGTGGGTGTCAGTCCCATAGATAAACTACCAGCTCTTTTTCATGAAAACTACTGTCAAACTGAGCCTCTCCCAACAATATTTGTGTAATTTATTTGGGGGGTTATGAATATATCTTATGTCTATTCAAGTAAACTCTTGGTGTGGGATCTTGATTCCAGTCCTTTGCAATACATCTGCATTCTCACTTTATTATTCAGCCCTTCCTAGTGTGTCATGTGCAAAACTTGACAAATATGCTTTCTTTTTATCCAAGTGGTTGATTAAAGTGTTACCCAAATATAGCCAAAGACAGAGCCCTGTGGAAAACCGCTAAAGACCTCCATCTCTAAATGATCAGATCTTTTGGAATGTTTGACTTGGGACTCCACCTAACTTTATTACCATTACCCTTTCTCCATCTTGTTCATAAAGATATCATGCCAAAATCAATATATACTTTCTCTATTTCAATTTCTTGTGGGTAAAAAACAGTTGATCTAGAATTATTCCTTCTTAGAGAGAGAGGTAGTAGTTGTACATAATCACAGGGCACGGTGCTAGCCACTACCACCAAGCCCCAGAGCTCAGGGCATAGCTACTGGACTTGTCAAAGTTTTTTTAATTGGGGCGATAAAAATCCAGCAAGATTAATAGATCATAATATGGAAGGGAGGGATCCCTGGGTGACTCAGTGGTTTGGCGCCTGCCTTTGGCCCAGGGCGCGCTCCTGGAGTCCCGGGATCGAGTCCCACGTTGGGCTCCCGGCATGGAGCTTGCTTCTCCCTCTGCCTGTGTCTCTGCCTCTCTCTCTCTCTCTCTCTCTCTCTCTCTCATGAATAAATAAATAAATCTTTAAAAAAATAATATGGAAGGGAGCCTGAACTAGAAGTGGCTGGGGCCAGACATTTTGGTGTTGCACAGGTGGTAACCAAATTCCATTAAAGTTTCACCTTCTTTTCTGTTGAAGATCATGTTTGGATCTGGTGCTTGAGCCCCAAGGCTCAGGCGGTGACAATAGAAGGGTTACTTGCAAAGATTTTTCAAGGATTGCTCCCTGAAATCCACCCTCAGGAACTACACAGGGAGGGAGAGATGCTGAGGGCTGTGGCAAAGCTCCCTGAGGGGAGCAATGACTCCATACAACAAAGGAGAATGGGAGGTGCTGGGTATGGGTTTGGACTTGATGTGGGACTCGGGGAAGTTAAAGGATTATCACGCTGGCAGGGAAAATGAAGAACTCTCCTCCCCTCACACACACACACACACACACACACACACACACACACCCTTTTTATGAGAGAGAGAACAGGTGAGCAGGGAAAGGGCAGAGGGAGAGGGAGAAAGAGAGAATCCCAAGCAGGCTCCCATGCCCAATGTGGAGCTGTCACAGGGCTTGATCCCACAACCCCTCGATCATGACCCGAGCCCAAATCAAGAGTCCAATGCTTCGCTCACTGAGCCACCCAGGTGCCCCTTTTTTAACTTTATTTTTTTTTAGAATTCTGCCTTGTCTTACAATTCCTCCTTTGACAGTCTACTTTCCCAAGAGGAAAATGTTCATTCAGCTTGGGGCTCATGGGAATGTAACCTGGGGTTAATCAGAATATGCCCATCTTCACCCTATCCTTCTCTCCACATATTACATGCAGGAGGGAGAGAAGACGACTAGAGAGGAAATCAGGGGAAGAAAAGGCAGTTGGGAGAGGGAAAAGGAAAATGAAAGGAAAGCTTAAAGTATAGAGTGACCATGGTCATTTTATTTGATTCTTGACTCCAACACCTACTTTGGAGAAAAAAGGTTTAAAACTGACCACATAGGTATTGGCAGTAGACAGAACCAGAAATTTGACCCCAGTTGTATTAACTCCATTAAGCCTGAGTTCTTTCCTCTGCAAAACAAAGGCCATGAGGCACCAACCAAAGAAGTTCTGTGACCTTATCAAATGCCAACATTTTGGGCACTGGATTGTTCCAATGTGAAGGATTAAGAAAGTTCCAGCAATCTGGGAGTTGCACTTTGATACCCTGCCACACAGACCCATCTGCATACTTGGTACATCCTGAAACCAAGGGGGACTATAAAACATCATCTGCCCGGATGGAAGGGATTCCAGAATACGACCACAGGTTGGACCACAAAATGTGCAAAGGCCCACAGTGTACAGCCTAGAAGCTGACTGCCCAGATCTTGGATCTGGAGAAAGTTGGCACTGGAGAAAGATGTTTCTAACGCCTCCACCTCCACTTCTGAAATAATTCCATGTTTCAGATGGGGGCTGGAACGGTGGCAAATCTGCAAACCCTGATAGCAACAGAAGGAAGCAGACCAGGAAGGAAAAGATCAGCTGGGCACAGTTCAGTTCTCAGCAATAATGACAAGTCTAGAAATGAAGGAAGGAAACCCAGAATGCATGGGCAGGGGGAGGGGCTGGGGGTGTATTTTACTGCTGCATTTCCAGGGCCAGGCTGTACTCTTTGTTTTGGCACACTTTTCCTGCCAGAAAGCCAATGTTCTCACCACATAAATACCCGTCGACATTAATAACAACAGCATTGGAGACCGTTGTCTGTAAAGATGCCAGATTGCCTACAAATAGGCTGCAAATACCTGGGAGACTTTCACGAAAAACAAGACACCAGGCAATGAAAGTCTGGCAGAGGAGATGGGGCTTCTGACGATGGTGGGAGGGAGCACATGAACAGCCCTAGCATGCAGGCTTTTTTAAATGCGACGCTTTTGCCTTGAACCCATGGAACGCCTGCAGGTCTGACTCGGTGCCCTTTACCAAAAAGCAGCTTTAAGAGGTTTGCTTTGCAAAGGCTGGGCTCCCCGGGGGTGATCGCTGAGGTTTTACTGCCATCAAGTGGAAGCATGGAGTATGGCATCTGCCAAACAGCCCCAGCCTGAAGTGGAAGGCAGAGTGGAAGGAGACACAGCGTATTTCCCACCAGACAATGAAAGATGAGGCGAAGGTTGTTGAGCTTCATTTCATTATCACCCATTTAGTTCAAAGGAGATGCCATTTTGGTTCCCAGCCATCAATCAACTGGCATCACTCAAGGACCAGGCTGGGCTAAATTTGCACATTCTATTTCAGCCCAGTAAAAATGGAGATCTATGGGAAATCTCCAAAACCCTCTTCTCCAATATCAGAGATCATCAGGTGCCAAAACTTCCAGTCCCTGCGATGTCCCTATTCTAACAGAAGAGTTTAATTATGTCTTGAAAACATAAGACCTGAAGACAGGGTAGCAGCTGTGGGGGTGACAAGGCTGTTCGAATGGGAGGAAGCATTTATCTACCTCCTGGCAAGATAAAGAATTCAGTGAGGGGATGATCTCCTTGTCCAAACCCTATACTTCTTAGAAGAGAAGCCAGCAATGGGTGCCACTTCCATGTTCTCTCCTGTTTTCAAAGAGGTGAACAGGAAGACTGCAGTCATGGGGATACAAAGGCCTGGCAGATCCTCTTCCCTAACAAGAAAGAAGACCCAGGGTATTCTGTGGCTTTACCTTTCACTCAGCCCCCTTTGCTTGGTCGGTGGGCTAAAGACCAGAGGAGGAAAGAAAAGAGGGAAGGGAATATTTATTTCTTGAGTTACCTACACTGTGACAGATGATATACATGAAATTATATTGTGTTCCCCTCACAACAACCTCACTGGCCTCTTAAGAAAGACTAGAATGGTCTAAAAGGATCCAAATCATGATTTGTAATTTCTGTTTGCAATACAAAACTAGACCAATGTTAGTGCAAAGCCACGTGAAAAACAACCAAATCGTTGTGGAACGGAAATTCAGAGTTTCATTCAGTTCACCTCTGGCCTCACCTCAATCTTCTTCCCACACCAGGTTTTCCTTTTGATGAAAAGTAGAGTGTCTTAGGAGGTAACTCCCTAACTCAGCAACAAATTTTTAAATGTCATTTGGTTTCTGTACCTGGGAATTCCACCCCCCTTCACCAAAGAGTGTTTGCTATTGCCCTGCCCCGCGAGCTGTTTCTGGAATTTAGTAAATAATAATTGTTAGGTACTAGGTCTTTCCCAAGGGATATTATGAACCAATTCTGTCAAATAGGGATCTGAATGTATTCCCTCCTACAATTAAACCTCCTGAGAATTGTGAAGCCGGCTTTGAGGTCTCCTCCCCGGCCTACTTGGCCTGCCACACTCCATTCCAAAATTGCCACTCCTCTCTGCCATCCTGTAGCAAAACATCAGTCTGTGGCCCTTCTTGGCTCCCCCCGGCCCCCTTGCCACTCATCTCAGCAACTGGAGAAAACACACGTGTTTTAGACAAAAGGAAGAGAAGGAGAAACTCATGGAAGTGCACCCCCAGTGGAACTGAACATTGTCTTCAGCTCCATGTGAAGACAAGAGTCCGCCATCTCTCCTTCGGGCCCAGTGCCCTCCCCTCGTCCTGCCACTGCCACAGTGAAAGCTTGCCAGCACATCTTTATTGTGTCTCCAAGTGAGGTGTGGTGAATAACTTATTACAGAAGGAACACTCCCCATTTGTAGACAATGCCCACTTACAGAATGCTGGTGGCGAACATGGTGTGAAGCTATTTACGGGAGCTGAAGAGCAAGGGGATGACAGGAGAATCAGTGCCAGGAATTTAGGGCAAGAACAGTGCACAAATGTCTCCTGGCAGAGGGAAATCAGGCTTGTCCCTGCTAGGGAGATATAGAAGAGGAATTTCTGGTAACGCATATGGGGGGGTGCATATTTCTGGAGACGGACAGCAAGTTTGGGAATGGTGACCTGTGAATTGGTGCTGGGGACCCTCAGGGGCTCTGTGCTAGCACCACATGTGGGTGACCTTTGGCCTCCCCTACCCAGACAAGATGCATGGGTGCCAGTAAGTTGGCTTCCAGTGTAGATATTGGCAAGGACAGGCCTTTGCTGTTTTTGCTCAGATCTGCAGATCTGCTCTGGGCCAAGCGATCCTCACAAAACCAGCCTTGAGTCAGAAGAGCTAGCTCCTGAAATGAACTGAGTCAGTAAGGGGTCCGATGACCAGAGCTTTAGTCACTTGTGGAATGACTGGGCATAGTAATGGGCACACCTTGAGTTGCCTGAGACTCCCTCCCATTTAAAAGAAGTATCCTAAGTACGGGACAAAGGAAAAACACTAGAGTGCTAGGACCTGGAGTCTTGTTAGCCCCCAACAACTCCAGAAGGGAAGGCAAGTTCTTTCCAAAAGGTTCTGTACAGTTTCCTTGGGCGACTTGGGATTCAGCCCAGATCCCTTTGAACTCCCCGCTGGTGGGCTGAATTGCTGTGCTCGTCCTGCTCTTCAGAACAGCTAACTGCCGTCTTTCCTTCCTTCATAGTCATTGTAAGGGCTAGTCCGAGTCTGGGCCCGTGGAATGGAGAAATCCCTTTGGGCGGTTCGATTCTGAAAAGGAAGCCACCATATTGTTAAACCCACTCCAATTCCCAATTCCCAGGTATTTAAACAGAGCTCCAATCTGGAGCAGGAATCAACTCTCTTCCCTCTCCCATCTCTCCCTGTGAAGCGCTCCTCCCTTTGCCCTGCACTCCAGTCTCCTGTGCTGACCCAGGAGGCAGATCACAGGAAAGGAGATATGGCGTCCTTTCAAGGTGGCCGTCTAGGGGCCTTCAGAATGGCTACATCCTGTTCCCGAAGGACAAGCATTCCTTGCTAGCATAGATGAAAAAGGAGGAAAAAAAAAATTTACCTGCAGCTGAAAATGGGTGGAATAAGGAGCATAGAGTGTACCACTTAGCTCTTCAAGACCTGAAAGAGAGGGAAAGGAGAGGTTCCAGCATTAGGGCTCCACCCCACTTCGTGCTCCTGCCTGTTCTCACCCCAATTCAGTCAGTTATCAAAGTGTGACATCTATCTGTCTGTCTCTTCCGTAGACCAGAAGTTTCCTGTAGGGAGAGACTGTCCCAAGCCCAGGGCCAAGCACAAAGTAAGCACGGTATTGGATGAATAAATGAATAACTACCAACATAGGATCACTAGGGAAGCGCCTTCCAGAAAACTTCACTGGTGGCACAACTCATCCCAGAACCACATCTAAAGCACATTTGAAACCAGTTTTTTCAGATATGGATCCGGCCAGAAGGTGTCGCCTAGAGCAAATCTCACTGAGGATTTACCTACTTCCTTAACTGCCCACCAGGAAAGAAAAAAAAAAAAAAAAACTTTTTTTTTCTTTTTACTTTCTTTGGGAGGGGGCAAAACTTATGAGCAACAGTTTTCTGTGTATTTGAGGGAAATTCGAGGGATTTAAACTCTGGAACAGAAAAGCAAATCCATACAATCATCATGGATACCATACAAAGCAATCCATCGATTTCCCACCAAATGTACCTGTTCAGTTTACTCCACACACATCTCAGGTACCTTTCTCTATGTAAGGTACTGTGGAGAAGCTGAGGATTAACCAGAATGATTCCTGGCCTGAGGCTGACACTGGGGAACAAGGGATATATGACAGCTATACAAATAGCAATGGAATGAGACACCCTCTGATAAGAGCGTTTCAAAGTTTTACAGCTTGCAGGCAAAATGCATGAGAGACTAGGGATTGCATGACTCTAGAAGAGGGCAAGCGCAGGCAGAAGGACATGTCTGGAGCCTGGACACACAGGCGGGGAAAGGTAGTGGCTGGTTACTTTGGACTGAGAGCACAGTTTCCATGGTTGCTGGGTCCTGGCCATGAAAAGCTTCCCTATGTAAATATGGTGGGTACTGGGGAGCCAGCAAGGTATGTGAACAGGAAAATGTGGTAGTCAAAGAGAGGAAGGTGACAGTGGTCCATAAAATTAATGCAAAGAAAGAAGAAAGGGAAGAATAGTAGTTAGGGAATGAGTCCTAACAGAGTCCAAGAGTATGGGGACAGGCTGAAGCCCTGAGAGTGGATGGGAGTGGACAGGTGCTAAAGTATCCCCTCCAGCCGTCCCTGCTTCCCTTCAGGCTTCCAGGTGTCCAGAAGAGGGACCACAGCCACTGTGAAAAGCACCAGGAGGCTTTGCACCTCGGTTTTCAAGGGCAGAGAAAATTGTTAACTAAAGCTAAGAACCTCACCTTGGAGGTCCCTCCCTCCTGTCCCAGACCTGTCCTCTCCCTTGATTAGCCCCAGAGACCAATGAATAGATTCCTTTGGGCAAGAACAGTCTCTAGCTATCAGTTTAGCCTCTTTTTGGTTATGAGAACATCATAATACCTGGTTATTCACAACTTTAGGCAAGAGCAAAATCATTTGATTCTTTTATGTCAGGTACCATCTCTTCCCTCTCATGGGACCAGAGACATGCAGTAAGATGTGGCTCTTCAGGATAAATCAGAATCCTCAGTAACTTTATGGAGATACCTGCTGATTTATGATGAAAGGGCTTTCTCCCTTCTCTGTGACCACTGCAAGAAATCATGGCTTGCTTTCTATATTCAAATCTACAAAGGGCTCCACATTTCTGGAAGGAACACTTAGTTATCTGTTATAAAGAACATAATCTCACCTACTTGTCTCTAGAGATTTTTTTTAGTCATTCCTTTGCCATTCCTTTGCCCTATCTTATTTTGGCTTGAGAAACCCATAAGGTATTGTGTAGAAAGTACTAGATTAAGACTCCAGAGGCTGGTTTCTACTTCTACTAGAACTCTAGTTAGCTGGATGATTTTAAGCAACATCTGAGCCTGGGGGACTTTATCTATTCTATCAGAGGTATGACTTGGATCATCTTGAGTGCTCCTCAGAGTTATAATATCCTATGATTCTCCCCCATCTTTCTACAAGGGATTCCCAACCCAGCCATCCTCTGTACCTTGAGTGATTTCCTCTTGAGAGTAGGCTCTGTTCTCCACACCATAGCTCTGCTTCATGAGTTGAGGTTTACAAAATATGTCCTCCACAGGGTAATCCATGGGGTTCCGTTGCTTTGTGAGCAGCTGAAACTCAGGTGCAGCATAAACCAACAGGAAAACCCAGCCATTGGCAACCAAGGCTGAGCTGAGGACAGTATCATCCCACTCAGGGCCAAAGGTAGAAATCAGGAGCAAGGTGATCCATGTCACCCAGATGCCAATGGAGAGGAGCATGGTGAGGAAGATGTGGGTGCCATGTCTCTTCCAGCCAATGAAAGATCCACAGAAGATGAAGCAGGACATGAGGAAGGTCAGTGCCATCAAGGAGAGGACATAGATGAGCAACATGACAAAATCTTCATTCCGCCGAGGGGCAGAAAGCTCGGAAAAGATGGCAACATTGGTCCTATTCATGGTGAGAATGATGTACTCTGCAGCAATGATGTCCTGCACCAAGCTGAGGCCCACAGCCAGGCTCAGCATCACCATCAAGGATAGGGGCTTCCTTCCATGCACCAGCTTTGTCAGATTGAAAGCATGAGCCAGGAGGCAGGAGAAGCAGAGGGAGAAGAGGACGCCAAAGAGGAAGAAGCGGGTGGGCCCTGTGCTGCCATCAAGTTGGATGATGAAAGCGAAGGTAAGGCCAAAGATCCCCAGAACACCAAGGAGGAAGAGAAACTGGGTCGGGAGCACTTTTCGCCTGTTGGAGTCTTGCACCTTGCAGATGAGGATCAGAAGAGCAAACATGAAGGCCATCGAGGTCACAGCCCCAACTGCAGCCACTGCTTCTAGGACGATGCCCCAAATTTTAGTGGTATCACAAAGTTTGTGGTACCTGGCATCCAGGTTTGAGTGGCAACCACTAGGGGATGTTGTGGCCATTCTGGTCCTGCATAAAAGCAAGTTGTGGGGAGGAAGAGGTGAATCTCCTAACAAATTCAGCCACAGGACACCCAAAAAGATTAGAAAAAAAATCTTTGTATGTTTGGCCAGGATGTTGCCCCTAAACTTGCTACTTAGATAAAGCTACTAACTTTTCTCCACCTTTTGTGGCAAATTCTAAAGGAAAAAAACAAATCTTCCCACAATTAAGTCATAAATATGTATCCTGATGCCAGAGGACTCAGTGCTCTTTTGAAGGGTTCCAGGGTTTCATTTTAAAAAACAATTTGCCAGGGTTCCTGATATTTTTGCCTAGTATTTTGTCAGAATTCATGAGCATGGAAATCTCTAAGTTTAAATTTTAATCATAATTTATCAGTCTGAAGGTTTTTTCCATCTTTGCCTGTTTCAGACATTTGGAAGTATCCCATTCTTTTTTTTTTTTAAGGTTCTATTTATTTATTTGAGAAAGAGAGCACATGTGCAAAAGTGGGGGGGGGTGCAGAGGGAGAGGGAGAAGCAGATTCCCCGCTGAGTATGGAACCCGATGCAGGGCTTGACCCCAGGGTCCTGGGATCATGGCCAGCCAAAGGCAGACACTTAATTGCCTGAGCCACCCAGGCACCCCTGTAAGCACCTCATTCTTTCATGCATAAGAGGAGTTATCTATTTAAACTACAGATTTCTCTATGGAAGGCCACACATCCACTTTGCCACCCCCGTATCCTCTTCTTAGCTCTGCTGTCACATGTTAGAAGGATTTTTTTTCCCTCCTTAAGGTTTGTAAGGCTGGCTCTACTCTTATTCCAAAAAGTGATGGAGTCTTCTCTGTCATAACAAGTTCTTTATTAATTATCTGTTAGGAGAAAAGTCCTAGAGAATGCACAAAAAAATAGTGAATAATCTAATGAAATATATTACCAATAGCTAATGCTCATTTTTACTATGGATCAGAAACTCTTCCAATCACCTTTCATATATATATATATGAATAATATATATATATATATAATATATATATATTAGTTTAATTTTATAGCAACTCCAGGAGGTAAAAAATATTAGCCCTATATTGCAAATGAGAAAACTGAGGCAGAGACAAGTTAAGTTACTTGCCCAACACCATACATTGAGGAAATGGCAGAAGCAGAATTTGAACATAACTCATCTGGCTCTAGGATCCATGTTCTCTCATACTACAGGTACCACCTCTCGAGTAAGTTCTAGTTGGCCTTAAATGCAATCTGAGGTGTTCTCATTCTCTCTCTCTCTCTCTCTCTCTCTCTCTCTCTCTCTATGTCCTTCCCTTTTCTACCTCATTAGATGCCTCATTAACCAGCTCTGTTTATGGTCTTGATTCCACTTAGTTCAGACCCACACAGGCTGGGAGTTCCCAGGTGACAGATGATCCACAAAGCAGGTAATCTGTTCACCCAGTCAAGGACAATCAGACTTGACTGGCTGGGGACACCTGGGTGGCTCAGTGGCTGAATGTCTGCCTTTGGCTCAGGTCATGATACCAGGGTCCTGGGATTGAGTCCCGCATCAGGGAGCCTGCTTCTCCCTCTGCCTATCTCTGCCTCTCTCTCTCTGTGTCTCTCATAAATAAACAAAATCTTAAAAAAAATATAAAAATAAAGAATTAACTGGCTGGGAGCAACCTGCGTGGCTCAGTTGAATAAGTGTGACTCTTGATTTCGGCTCAGCTGGTGATCTCGGGGGTCGTGAGATACAGCCCCATGTTGGGCTTCACACTCAACTGGGAATCTGTTTGTTCTTCTCCCTCCCGCTCTGCACTCCCCCACCCCCACCCCCACCCCCACCATTGCAGCTGGCAGGTGTGCATGCACCTTCTCTCTCTCTCTCTCTCTCTCTCTCTCTCTCAAATAATTAAGTAAATAAAATATTTTTTAAAAAAGAATTGACTGGCTATACCCCCTATATATCTCTCATTGATTTCCCAGATCTGCTTCCTTCTCCACTCCCACTAACTTCATGTCAATTTTAAACCTAGCTGATGTTCAAACCTCATGAAATCTAATTCCTAAGAATTCAGGGCATGGTGGGAAGATAAATTGGGAAATTGGAAGAGAGAAGGAGTTTATACATCTTAAAATATATGGGTCCAAAAGTCCAAAGTCAATGTCAGGTAAGACATTGAAATTCAAAAGTGCTAAAGTTTTAACAGTTTGTCAACAAACTATAATTTTTTCCTGGATTACCTGGCCAGTTTATCAGTTTATCTGGTTTATCAGTTTCTATGACACCATTCTTTTGGTTTTGTTAAATGCTATTTGTGCATGAATGGGTTTGGGGAGCACAGCGCTTTAGACTTTAGATTTTATTTTCCTGATAGGATTGCTCACTCAACAGTGAAAAGTTCTGAACTGACTAGAAGAGAAATGCAGTCAGGACAAGGAATAGAGGACAGTGTTGGAGGAAGGAAAGGCTCACTGAGTACCCCTCCACAGAAAATCACCAGTGAAAGACCTCGCCCCCCACCCCCACCCCCAGGCCAAGTAGGGAGAGATCGTGCAGAAAGGAACTGGAAAGAAGGAGAGTCGCTAGGACTGGGAAGCAGGAAAAGATACAAAACATTCATTGCATCCTGCCTCTTTCTTTATTAGCAGAGAAAACAGCTCAGAATGTCTTCACCCCATGCCCATAAATGCTCATAGACAAGATTTCTCTGGCCCTTCACAGCTCTATGAGATGCTGTGATCAACCCTAGGGAAAAAGAACACCCGTTTCTCTTTTTTCCATTTTATATCTTCAAGATCCAACTACAAGTCAGAGAACAACACAATGGGATATGGAACCAGCCATTGCTCACTAACTGTCCAGGGCAAAGGAGCACCTTCCTCAGTGCAGACAGAATTCAAACATCTGCTTCCCTTAAAGATACAAAATCTGAGGGCACCTGGGTGGCACAGTCAGTTAAGCATCTGATTCTTGATTTCGGCTCAGGTCACAATCTCAGGGTTGTGGGATCCAGCCCAGACCCACTGGGCTCCATGCTCAACCAAGACTCAGCTTGAAAGATTCTCTCCCTCTGCCCCTCATCCCACCTCGCTCTCAAATAAATAAATAAATAAACCTTTAAAAAAAAAAAAGATACAGAACCTCCATTTCAGTTAAATGAGGTAGTCATCACCCTAGCTTTGTTTAATTTTCATGGTAAGTAGGGAAAAAAATTATATATGTGTGTATATATATGCAATATAAAACACAATTACATAAATGAATATTATGTATATGTTGGAATATTATAAGTATGTTAGAATACAATAACTTAAGTAATATAAATAACAAATAATTGATAGCTTCAATCTATCTTCCTAACTTTCTTTTTTTAAGATTTTATTTATTCATTCATGAGAGACACAGAGAGAGGCAGAGACACAGGCAGAGGGAGAAGCAGGCTCCCTGCAGGGAACCCGATGCAGGGCTCGATCCCAGGACCCCGGGATCGTGACCTGAGCCAAAGGCAGATCCTCAAGCACTGAGCCACCCAAGTGCCCCTCTTCCTAATTTTTTAATGAAATTTGGCTCCCCAAGCTTAACTTTTTATTGTATAGTCATTCATTCAACCAATATTTCCCGAGCACCACTATGTGCCCATCACTAAATAGTCAGTGGTGAAGGGGAAAACCGGCAAATGCCCTAGCATAGAAGGGACAGACAGACAGACATAATCTGCCACTACTTCCACGGCCTTCCCAAGGCCTTTCGTCAGCAGGGGTCTGTCACGGGGGTCTCTACAGCATGGAAATCACACCACAGTCACCCCTACCACAAAGCAAAGATGGAAATACCTCTTCAGAGCAGAAAGAGTGAAATACACGGGAGGAAGAGGGCGGGCAAGGCCTGAGACACAAGTGCCCAAAGTCCGGTTTGCCTCACCTCTGAACGCCCGCTCTGCGGTGGTGAGGGGAAGGAAGGTGCAGACCTTGTCAGTGCGGGTGCTGGGAGGATGGGAGAGGAAGAAGGGTCCCCCTCCCTTGAATGCAAGCACAGTGCATACAAGGGAAGGGAGGGACCCAGGCTGGGCACATCTCCTCCCTGCTCACCTTTGCCTCTCCCCCTCACCCCCTCCCATCAGTCATAAGGGCGGTGTCTAGCTGGAAAGGTATTTCTCCCTCCCGGGCCGCCCGCCTACCACTCCTTCTCCACCCTCTAGGTAGTGCTATCCCTTGCCAACTGGTCATGAGCATCAAGGGGAATTATATGCACTTTGGGCCTGATGACTCTATCTTGACGGAGACTGATGAGGTGTTTGCCTATAGGAGAGTCGGGGTGCCGGTCAGAGGAAAAGTGAGGCAGAAACCTCCCATCCCCCAACCTGGACCTCCAGGCCCATCTATTCTGGTGGCAGGTGTGCAGGAGGCGGGTGTGTCTCGAGGCCTCCCGGCATCTGCAAACCAGGTCACAGGTATACAGAGGTGGGGAAAACCAATTTCCCTCAATTTCAATTCCACCTCCCACCCCAATCACGCACAGGAGATGGAGAAGCAGACTCTGAAGTCCCTTTAAAACATTATTTTGGGGGGGCCTGGGTGGTTCAGTCAGTTGGACATCTGCCTTCAGCTGATCTCAGGGTCCTGGTATCGAGCTCCAAGTAGGGTTCCCTGCTCAGCGAGCAGCCTGCTTCTCCCTCTGCCCCTCTCCCTCTGCTCCTGCTTGCTCACTCTCTCTCTCTCTCTCTCTCCCTCTCAAATTAATACATAAAATACATTTTTAAAAAACACTGTTTTTAGGGCAGCCCCGGTGGCTTAGTGGTTTAGTGCCACCTTCAGCCCGGGGCCTGATCCTGGAGACCGGGGCCTGCTTCTCCCTCTGCCTGTCTCTCTCTCTCTCAATCTCTGTCTCTCTCTCTAATAAATAAATTAAAAATCTTAAAAAAAAACACTGTTTTTAAAGAAATGTTGACATTTTCAAGCATACAAAGCCCAAGGGCTCATCATCTGGTTTCGGAAATTACCAATCTATGGCCAATTTTGCTTCCTC